TGCTGCGCCTGCCGCGAAATCTGCACTTCGAGGTTCACCAAGTGCTGCGCCTGCCACGAAATCTGCACTTCGATGTTCACAAAGTGCTGTACCTGTCCCGAAATCTGCACTTCGAGGTTCACAAAGGGCTGCATCTGCCACAAACTCTGCACATCGAGGGTCACAGAATGCTGTGCCTGCCACGAAATCTGCAATCGAGCCACATGTCCGAAAGTCACGATTCACTGCACCTGTCACGAAATCTGAGCTCTTCGACGATCACCGCCATGTCCAAAGTGCTGCCCCTGCCACGAAAACTGCACTTCGAAGTAAAACAGCTCCTATCCCTTGCACCTGCCACGAAAAGCCGACTTTGAAGCACCAAAAACACTAGGTTTCCCTTGCGCCTGCCACGAAAAGTGATCACCATGTACCAAAATGCGCGCGGCACCACAACGAGAGCGCGGTCGCGACAAGCACACGCTCCAGCCACCCAGATTCTGCGAGCCTGCGCAGTCGAAATGCACTTCGAGGATTTCGAGAGGCATGAATGTGCTGTAAATAGCAACGAATTAGTCATTCACGCCCGCGCGCTTCAGCGATCTAAGCATCAGCTGCTTTTCACCTACCGTAAGAACCCCTAGTGTGTCCACACTGTTTGAGGAAATATATGCAAATCAGTCAAATCAGTGTCCATCATTTTCCACCTGTTCACGTGCAAGGAAACACATCTCTCTGCAAGACTCAATAGCTTCAAGGTGAAGCGTGTTTCTTGGAACCAAGCAGCCGTTGTTCATTTCAACGATGGTCTCGGTGGTGCGTTCCGCTTGCTCCACCAGCATGGAATCAATTCCCACCTTTCATGGTCTATCATGGTCTGCTACGTCTTGCGGATCCAACGGATCCACCTCACCGGAGTTGTTAGCTAGACACGGCCTGTCTGTCCTCCCAAAAGCCCTTTGCACTGCACCCAATTTCAAGTACCCCAGAAAATGGGAGATGACCCTATAATTATTGATCAAGCACCTGGCTGTGTATTTGAACAGGGAAACCCTCCACCAATGTGGTTGTTGTCTATTTTCCTTCTTCCAGTGGATCCAATGGGGGCCTCCCTATTCTGATACACACCCACTTTGTGCCCATTGTCTGAGGTACGAGTGCAGGGTCGACCCGAGTCTGAGAGGATGGCACTCACCAGGTTCCGGGCTTTCGTCGTCTCGGGAGTCCGAGTCGGTCTGGATTCGCAGATGGTCTGTCTGTCTCTATGGCTGCAAGTACCTTCTAAGAAGGTGTGGGTTTAGAGGGTCCTAAATCCGCTTGACGTCTTTTTAGGACAAAACTAGCAGCAAGGATATTCCCAAAAGGGGCAGACTCGGTGGATGGGTGTGTTTGAAAAGATCCGTGATCTGTTTATTTGTCATGCTCTGAATCCCCGGTGCGACCTCACCAAATTCGTTCTCAATCACGGCGATGCGCTTGCCATGTTGTTCACGCAAGATCCTGTTGAGCAAGGTGGTCTTGCCACTTCCCAAGAAGCCGGTGATCACCTAGGAAAGCGGCTCCAAAAGAAACCCCATCTTCCCTCACAAGAAAAACATGTAGGCATGGGTCGGGTCCAGTCGTACCGAACCTGAGAAGGTGGCAGTGGATCCTTATGGGGGTAAACAACCAGGAGTCCAGGAGTCACAAAGGAGTTGTTGATATATCCCTAGGGCTCCACCAACCCTGGCACCCACCTGACTCCCACCGAACCGAAAGCACGACTGGAGCTCTAGGGAGGGTATAATATGTGTTTACATCATAGTTGTTGGGTCCCATCCAGCGGGCATCCAGCGGGCACCCAACTCCTCCTTCCCAAAACTGGAGAGGCACCCTTGGTCTCCCATGTCTGTCGGAAGCATCGGACCCCAAAACTGGAAGAATGGACCAGGTCACTGTAACAGGCACTTTGGCATTCTCTTTTTCAATGCGCTGCTGATCATTCTCCTCCTTCCGTGCATGGTACCTTGCATCTGCCTCCTCGATCCGCTTCAAGGCTTCCGTGGGCCATCCCTGTCGGCCACGTTCTAGCAACTCCTTCGCCGGGTGCAATTCCGTTAGGGCTCGGCGCGGGGCGCCCATATCCAACAAGGCCTCAGCTCGCAGTAAGTAGCAAATCGCTCGTTCCCAAGGCTTGATGCGACGACCACGGCCAGAGCTGTGCACCAACAAAGCACGAGTGCTGAAGCCCCAAGCTTCTCCAAATCTGCATTCACTCAACATCATTTCAGCAGATTGAAGGTTCGTGGCAAACTCGTCCCCTGGTACCACCACTGGAGGCTTCACATTGCCTGACAAGGTCTTCTTCTCATTAGTAAGCCCCAAGACATCACCTGACTTGGAATGTCCAGACAATGCTGATGGGCCACAGCCTAACTCTGCACAGGTGCCCATCCGTTCCGGATTAGCAGTGCTGGAGCTGCTTCCACCGCTGGAAACACTTCGCCCCCACCAACCCTGCTGCGCGCAGAACGGTGGACGTGGGGCCCAAGAAGGGGCCCAAGAAGGCCGCAGGAACCGCGCTTGACGAAGGGGTCCAAGCATGTCGGCATAGGTCAAATATAAAATAGAGAGCTACAGCTACCTGAATCAGCTTGAGCTGTTTGAACATGCCAGCAAGCAGGTGCCACGTAGAGCCAGGTGCCCCGATGGGTGCTGTTTGCTACATCCAATACTCAACCACCACTGCCGAAACAATAGGGACACCTTCGTTGGTGCATATGCTGCCACCTTCCGACTGGTTTGGTATCTACTATGGCTTGTGCTGGGGTCGACATCCTGTCAGGATCTAGTGACTGTAGTGGACCTGCAGAATGTTTGACACTTCGGCAATGGTGCTGGCAATCGGTGCTGGCACAGTTCAGGTGGACATCGAATGCTTGTTCATGTGTTTGTTTCATGGCATCATTGGGTGGGGAGCAACTCAATCCAACATGGAGCCCTCGTCCACCATGTAGCTTCACCTCCCAGGTAGGTCCACCTGTTTTTGACCGCACTCGAAGCTTCAAACCATTGCCCCCCAAGTAGTCCCAACCACTGAAACCGCTGCCTCGCCCTCGTGTGTCCACATGGGGTTGGCACAAAAGTCCACGTGTTTGGGGACCTTGAGGAGGCATCGACGTACGGAAGTGGAACCGGAGAGGGTCATATGGCAACAGGAGACCTTGATTGACCTACCGACGGAAGGTCAAGCTACATGGTGGACCGGGGATCCAGGTGTTGACCCATGCCCATGTTTTTGGGTTGCCCAAGGTTCATGCATGTTCATGCAATTGCCAAGGCATTCCATTGGGCGGCATTTTGAGGATATACTTCATTGATATACATGTCATGTCTGTAACTCGAACAACAGGTGAAGGGATCAATTCAATCATTGCAAAGGCACAACATGGCACCTATCAACCTCGTGTGGCTTTTGACCTAAAGGGACCTCCTGTTCTTCTTTCGTTGGCCGAAAGGTGCCACCATGTGGACCACGAGTCGAAGAGTCGGTTCGACGTCCTACGGTTTTGTCTGGATGTTTCATCGGTGTTTTTCGGGGGGAAGGTGTAACTTCAAAGAGCTTGCAATCTCGATTCCATATTCCGTACTAGTTTCTTTCATTTCACAGTGTGAGATCGGTGAAGACTCCAAGCATGGCATTAACGACCATGTCCCATTCCCAATCGGAACACAACAAAACATCATTCCCACATGCACATCATGCGAGATTCAGGCTCCAACAACGTCCTCAACAGGTAGTTAGACCCCCCAAACCCACCAACCTCATCCTCGAAAGGTGGTTAGGGTGGATGCCAGGAGGGGTCTAGCCACCTTCGACTTCGGATGTGGGCCGGAAGCCCTACGGAAACGATGAGAATTGTTGATCACCTCTTTCACCCAAACATGGTGTTGGGGCTGCAGGTTTTTGACCCATCATCTAACCCACAAACCATCCAAAACCGGGTTGTCCCTGGCAAAAACAACATGGTGTTGGTATAGTTGTTGTTCTTTTTGTGGACACCTTGATGTGTCATGTGTTTCTTTTGGTAAAACCCATGTCAATGTGCAAACCGCATCGTCTCATTACATGCAACCCAGGACCCGAGTAACTCGCTCGGCGAACCCCACCGACAAACCGGTTGAGACCGAGGCCGAGTTCGGTGGCGATTCACCCGGTGAAACGGAGGGTTTTCAACGGGTGAAATCCAGAGGCGAATCCAATCAGAAAGGGATTAGTTTTGAGTCCAAATCATCGGCACCGTCTAAGAGTAAAGCAAAGGGAGGTGAGAACGGTGAGAATGGCAGTCTACCACACGACTTTGGTGGCAAAGTTCGTTCCGCCTTTTGCTTGGATCACCAAAGGGATAGCCACCCCTTGAAACCCTGGTTTCAAGTCTGAGACGCTATTGCTTATACAGTACCGGCGCCCATGAAAAATAGAAGGCATGACAATACAAAATTCATTATTAGTGAAGATCAGCCTTTTCACGGATTGTAGGCCCCCTGGTACATAGTACAGTAGTAATTTTGGACGCTTGGACGCTGATTAGTAATAGGGCCCTCTATAATGCTAAATGATTGAAACATAATTCTTGACACCCTGTTTGTTTTAAGGGTCCTCCATTATGCTAAATGTTTTGGGGATCCTAATTGTTTATTATCTGAACAATATTTAGGGTTATATATACGTATATGTCCTTTAGAAAAAAGAAATATTAATTATTTATACTACTAAGCCAATGGTTGGCTTGCTGAGAGTATCGATAAGTATAGGCAGTATAGGTTTCTATAGTTCTTCTTCAAGACTGACAGCTTCCCAAAACCATCAATTCCCCAATCAACCCTTTATGTAAAGATTGCTCCTAAACAAATTGTCAAGGTAGTAGACCAGGAAGGCCCGTGATCCTCAATAAAGAATTTTGTTTAAGGCTTAACTCAATTGTGCAAAGCTTTTTCCTGAAGGAACAACACATAGTAATTCTTAATACTACTAAGCCAATGGTTGGCTTGCTGAGAGTATTGATAAGTATGGGTTTCTCAAGTTATTCTTCAAAACTCACAGCTTCCCAAAGCCATCAATTCCTTAATCAATCCTTTATGTAGTATGAAAGGATTGCAAAGAATACCTAATGACAAAGAATTTTAGAAAGGAACATTAATACTACAATCAATTACACAAAGGAATCCTCACAGGAACCCAGATTTGTTTTGGTGGTAGAATATTATAGAGGATCTCCCATTTGTTTGAGGGGGGGACCCCTTTTACTAATCAAGATCCAACATTATCTACTTATAACTTAAGCAATCCATGGGATGGACATCCTTACCGATGTAGGCCAGCAATGGTTGGTACACCGGGACTCCAAGGTCGTCACGGCGGGGTGGCGAAGCCGAAGGAAACGACTGCGGTAGACCAAAGCATCGACGACTGGGTGTTTCTCTTGCAAACGACTGGCGGATGACGTCGATTTCGCTTCCATGTCTTAAAGCGGGATCCACATTCCGAACGAAGGTGTTTGGGGAATGTGGAGAATGGATTACAATGCTGTACGTTGACCTCCCAGGGCGCCCAGGGATTCCACACACTGCACAAAGTCTGAACCGACTCGGGAGTGCACATTGCATCTCGAGCTCCTGGAAGGGCCAAGAGGGGGGAACAAACGGCACCCACCCCAACCACCTGAGGATATGGGCCAGGAGGTTTCAGGGATTCACTTCAACCCCTCAGTCTCCCCATTTCGACCCATAGCCCTCCCTCCGAGACACCGCTCTCCACCGCGTTCCTCGTCCGAGTGCCCGGGCATGAGGAGCTTCGCTTCGGATGAGCTGCCAAGGATGGAAAAACACCACTCCCGAACAGGCCCGAGTGACTGTCAAGTACCAACAGAGGTGGAGAGTGACCTGAACGAACGGACCCGAATGGCCTGGAGTACCGAACTACGATAGTCGAACTAGGGTTTTTCAACCTCTGCTGGTACTGGACCCGACAATGGCACCTACATGACAGTATCGAACACATCACCGTACCTGAGAAGGTACGACTGGATCCCTAGGGGAAACAAAACAACCACTGGTACCATACTGTAGCCATTGTCCGAGCTACGTCTTTGCGGGTTGACTCCAGGTCCCTGTACATGTCCTCGAGCTGCGTCTCCCAGCACTAGAACAAAAACGACCGTTAACAAGGAGGTGCATCTTACACATCTTGCTAGTCATGTTACAACCTAAACAAAATTGGAATATTGGACATTGAAAAGGTGCATCAGGGGATGAGGTGTCCAAAAAAGCCACTTCTTCAACCGTCAAAGGTTTAACCATATGCACTCTCACAAATTCGCTGCTGGCAAGGCTAGCTAGGCAAAATCCTCATCTGCCAACTAGTTTCTTTGTGATTCTCTAGGCCTATGTTTAATCTTTACTGTTTGGGATTGAAAGAAGTCCACGACTGCCCGCCCTCTCACCACACTAAGCATGAGCAAGCACGTCAATGCCATACGGCAACGAAACCAAAGGTGCGAATCACACCGATCTTTTCGCATTTGCTGGTCCCTTGGGCTCCAGTCGTACCTCCTCAGGTTCGGTATGACTGAACTCTCCTGGCACCCACCTCAAACACCTTCGAAACGAAGGCACTTGGAGCCCTAGGGTGTCTCATTTAGGTCCCCAAAATTCGGGAATTGTGTCACAAGTTTCCCCTGCTGCGAGTCAGGTTCTCAGCACGCGTTTCGCGACCAATCACGGCAACCCTTCCCGCCTTTTCCTTGACCTCTTCCACGGACTCACACTCTCCATACGGCGGGCCCTGCAGGCGAGAGAAAGCAGTCTTAGATCTCATCAACCAGGACTCCACTAAAGAGAAGTAGACCAGGAGTCACATGTCGGCACATGGAAGTGGAAAACCTACATTCTCTTTGTAGAGGGACATCGTCTTCCTTTCGGGGCCATGCCATCCACTTCCTCCAGGGAGAGATTCAGTGAGTGGGAGAGTGACAGTAGCTGTGAAGGAAGGAAACGAAGCGGCCTTGATGCCCAAAGAAGGGTCGCTTTAAGTATGTCACAAAGGCCTGTTGTGAGCGAGATTTCTTCTCACAGCTGTCTTCACTTGTTCTTCTCGTGCAGAAATCACCGTTTACAACAGGCCTCTACCCTCTGTGTGAACAAAAACCATGTTTTTCCAGACTAGTCAAGTCTCATCGACCAACTAGTCCCCAAAACATTGGTTTTGCTTGTTTGTGTTGTTTTGTTGTTTTTGGCTTTTATGACTCATCCAGATTAATCAAGACCAATCCACATTACTCCTGGCTAGTCTGAGTGATATAAGGCCAGGCCACGTTCATTTGTGTTTATTTGGCTGTGCCAAACTATATAATATAATCCTTGCATCCTAGAGTGTGAGATATACTTCATACTTCACATCATGTTATGACCTCAGATCATGAGAATTCATCTGCACATACCATTATGTGACAAACATGTTAGCTAAGTGTGATATATATTGTTTAATGTTCAATCCATGAAATGCAACGGGGTTCATCTCATATCACGAGACTTTAATGTGTGCAGTCCTTGCAGGCCACTGAAAGCCAGCGCGCGGACCGGTGAACCGTTCGGACCGCTGTGGCTTTTCGAGATGGCCATCACTAACCATCTCAAGCCATTTCCCTAGGGATCCAAGTACATTCTCAGAAGGTGGGACTGGGGTGGCTCTGGAGTGTCCAGTCGTGCCGAACCTGAGGAGAAAAATACGACTGGATCCCTGGGGTTTGTATATGTTCGGTTCACATCGGTTTGTCCCTCATTAAGAAGACGGATGTTCACCTTCCAAGACGGTGGCTTAGTCTAGAAC